GTAGGGAAATAAATCCCTGATCACTTAACCTGCCTGAAAGAAAACTTGGTAGGGGGACCAGCATTTTGCGTGGTAGTTAAGGTGCTGGACACTCCCACATGGCTGACCATGGTTCAAGTCTCAGACCTGGCAGCTTGCTTTCTCACTCTCCCTCTTTCTTTCTCTGTGTCTCTCTGGTCAAACTAAAAATAAATGAATGAATAAATAAAATTAAATAAATGATTATAAAAATAACACTTGGTAGGACTGGAAGGGGAAATAACACCAAAAATCTACAAAGTCGCCGGAGAGAGCAAAGTGGTGCGGTGCAGCCACTCCTCACCATGACCTGTGAGCCTTCAGCCGCAGGACAGCTCCCAGCTGCTGCTCCCAGTCTCCGTGGCTGAGCGCCTAGGAAGCCCTCCTCTCCCAGGCTCCATCTCTAGACTTCTTCCTTCTTCTGAAGCCTGGCCTTTTTCCCTTTGCTCCCACCTCACATGTGGGGCCTTAAATTGCCAGAGCTATGTGGCCTCTTTCATCTCTTCTCTAGTGACCTCCCCTTTTGAGCTGTCCAAGTTTCTCTTCCCATCTGAGGGATGCCTCTTTCAGCTCACCTTCAAAGGAGAAATAACTTGTAGATCTTAGTCCAATTAATGACCATGCCCTTCCCAGCTCAGGTTTACCAGCCCTGCCCAATGCCCCAAGATCCCTCTCTGCCTCATCCCTTAAGTATCTAAAGGGGAAATGCCTTCTGGAATCCTGACTCTACATTATTGCATTCTTAACGTCTATTAGGCTGTGCCAGGCTTCTTGTGTACTACTTAATATTAAAAAGTTTGACAAGTTAAGTACCATTATGATGTTCATTTCACAGATAAGAAAACTAAGATCCAGAGAAGTTTAGTAAGGAAGTACAGTCGCATGAATGGAAATGGAAAGGCAGGGATTCAGACCTAGTACTGTCTACAGTAAAGAACTTAGAGAGTCTACGGCCTTAACCATTATATACTATTCCAACAGCACAAAAAAATTATAGATAGTAAAAATAGCAGGCATAGTTTGAGCCAAGGGAAGAGAGATTAACTCCCCATAGCTCTTATTCTTTAGAAACTTACATTTTTAAGGAAATGGGGCTTAGAACAAGTGGAGACCATGAGACCCTATCAGTGTCAAAGAGGAATGAGGGAGGAGCTGTTTTGAGGGAGTCTGGTGTGTAGTTGCTGCGGGCTGCCCTGTTCCAGCCTGTTTGCCCTCTTGCTTAAGTTCACAGTGTGCTTGCGGCGGGAAGGGCAGACCGTCTATCAGCAGGTCCTGTCCCTGGACCACCCAAGTGTCCTGCGCAGCTGGAACTGGGGCCTGTGTGGGTACTTTGCCTTCTACCATGCCCTCTATCCCCGAGCCTGGACTGTCTACCAGCTTCCAGGCCAGAATGTCACCCTCACCTGCCGCCAGATCACGCCCATCTTGCCTCACGACTACCAGGTGAGACTCCCCATCTGTTTCCTCCATTACCCTCTGTTTCCTGCCTCTGCTGGAAATTCTATGCCCTGTGAAAGGGAGGGGGTTGGAGCCTCTATCGCAGTGGCTGCCCAGGACCACTGCCCAATTGGTTCTGGTCACCTGTGTCCCCTGGTAGGCAGCTTGCCTGGGAATATGAGATGTAAGTGGAAGACAGAGTATATTGGAGAGTTTTTGAGTCGGGTCCTCCATGCCCAAGATTGTTCTGGGGAGCAGGACCAGAAGGGGCTACACTGGGACCATCTGAGTAATCTTTGCCCCCAGGACAGCAGCCTGCCTGTAGGAGTCTTTGTGTGGGATGTAGAAAATGAAGGGGACGAAGCTCTGGACGTATCCATCATGTTCTCCATGAGAAATGGACTTGGGGGTGAAGATGACGCCCCAGGGGGTTTATGGAATGAGCCGTTCTGTCTGGAGCGTGATGGAGAGACCGTACAGGGGCTACTGCTGCATCACCCGACCCTTCCAAATCCTTACACGATGGCTGTGGCTGCACGACTCACGGTAACAGCAGAGCCAGCACTATCCCTGAGCCCCTGAACCCCCACCCTTAGCCTAGCCCCTCAGCCCACCTCAACCCCACCATGTCTCTTCATTCCTCAACTCCCAAGTCTCACCTACATCACAGCCTTATACGGGTAAACTTGGAGGGGCGAGTATGTGAGGGGTGAGGGCTACTCAGAATCCAGCATACTTTGGAACTTGTCCTCATGGAGTCTTCAACCCCCAACAGGCAAATACCATAGTAACTCACATCACAGCCTTTGACCCTGATGGCACTGGGCAGCAGGTGTGGCAAGATCTACTTCAGGATGGACAGCTGGACTCCCCTGCTGGTGATGGGGGGTCTGACAGGGAGGTGGTGGGAAGAGAGGCTGTCCCCATCTTGGGACCAGGGGTGGGAGGCCTGGTAATAAACAGACCTCATTCCCATGTGAGGGATCCCTACCCGTGGTTGATGGGGTGCCTGTGCTGATTCCTCTTGTGCTTCTCTTAGGCCGAAGTACCCCCTCACAGAAAGGAGTAGGTATTGCCGGTGCTGTGTGCATTTCAGGCAAGCTGCCACCTCGAGGCCAGTGCTGCCTGGAGTTTTCACTGGCTTGGGACATGCCCAAGATTGTGTTTGGTGCTAAGGGCCAAGTCCACTACAGGTGAAGGAACCAAGAAAGTCTGGGGATCTGAGGTTCTGGGGCTCTGGGGCTCTGACCCACAGCTTGTGTTCATCTCACCTTTCTTTCCACCCAAGGCGGTACACAAGGTTCTTTAGTCCAGATGGCGATGCTGCACCAGCCCTTAGCCACTACGCACTGTGCCGATATGCAGACTGGGAGGAGAGGATCTCGGCTTGGCAGAGCCCCATACTGGACGACAGGTGCCACTGGGACCCATCTCTGGCCTTTCTCCCAGGCACTCTCACTCCCATGGGACTCCTGGATTCACGCTCTACCACTAGTCAGCAGAGTTGTGCTAGAACTCAGTGCTCCCAGTCGGCTGAACCCCCGTCCTTTGTGTCTTAGGAGGTCCACATGCATTAAACCATTCTCTCCTGACCTCCCAGATCCTTGCCTGCCTGGTACAAGTCTGCACTGTTCAATGAACTGTATTTCCTGGCCGACGGAGGCACGGTCTGGCTGGAAGTTCCTGAGGACTCCCTACCAGAAGAGCTGGGAGGAGGCATGCATCAGCTCCGCCCCATCCTGCGGGACTACGGTCGATTTGGCTACCTCGAGGGTATGCTGAACCCCTGTCCTTTGTGTCTTAGGAGGTCCACATGCATTAAACCATTCTCTCCTGACCTCCCAGATCCTTGCCTGCCTGGTACAAGTCTGCACTGTTCAATGAACTGTATTTCCTGGCCGACGGAGGCACGGTCTGGCTGGAAGTTCCTGAGGACTCCCTACCAGAAGAGCTGGGAGGAGGCATGCATCAGCTCCGCCCCATCCTGCGGGACTACGGTCGATTTGGCTACCTCGAGGGTATGGCTGCTGGGGGGCTGCAGTACGGCTGGGGCTGGGGTATGGTGGCACTGTACCATGAAGATGAAGGTTTTGCCTACTGCAGGGTATTGATTGGGACTAGGGGGAGGAGTGGCAGGTGTGGACCAGTGGCAGTGTCCTTCCTCCAACTCCAGAGGACAAGCTAGGGAGGGGGAGATGAAGGGGAAGCAAGAATTCTGGCAATAGCATGTCTCCCTCATTCCTCTAGGCCAGGAGTATCGCATGTACAACACATATGATGTCCACTTTTATGCATCCTTTGCCCTCGTCATGCTCTGGCCCAAACTCGAGCTGAGCCTACAGTATGACATGGGTGAGGATCCCCTTAGTGTCGCTTCTGCCCACCTAGCTTCCCTTATCCCTGAACTTCTGTGGTTCCTCAGATTGTCCCTTCTCCGTCCCCCAAACATGTCTGCATGCTGCCCAGTGGTTCCCCTCTGGGGTCATACATACAGCTCTGTGCCCCACCCTAAGTCTGCTCATTCCTTCCCTCCTGCCACCCACTTGTGTCTGCTCCACCAGCACTGGCCACTCTGAGGGAGGACCTGACACGGCGACGGTACCTGATGAGTGGGGTAATAGCACCTGTGAAAAGAAGAAACGTCATTCCCCATGATATCGGGGACCCAGGTAAAAGTCCCTCTACCCTAGGGCCAGCAGGTGGCATGGTGGTTAAAGACACTGGACTCCCACAGGGCTGACTGCAGTTCAAGTCTTGGACCTAGCAGCTTGCTTTCTCACTTTCTCTCTGTCTCTCTGGTCAAACTAAAACAAATAACAATAAAGTTAAATAAAAATAATTCATAAGAGGATAGTCCCTGGGGCTGGCAAGTGGCGTGGCGGTTAAAGGTGCTGGACTCCCACGTGGCTGACTGTGGTTCAAGTCTCAGACCTGGTGGCTTGTGCTCTCTTTCTCTCTCTCCCTGGCCAAATTAAAATAAATTTTAAAAGTTAAATAAATAATTCTTTTTTTTTAAAAAGTCCCTCCACCCCAAGGTCAGCTTCTCTTCTTCCCCTTCTACACCCTTTACCCCATCCACCAATGCAAACGAACCAGGTCCCCTCCCCTCCACAGATGATGAGCCTTGGCTCCGGGTCAATGCATACTTGATCCATGATACTGCTGACTGGAAGGACCTGAACCTGAAGTTTGTGCTGCAGGTGTATCGGGACTATTACCTGACAGGCGACCAAGGCTTCCTTAAGGACATGTGGCCCGTATGCCTAGTAAGGGATGCACATGCAGTGGCCAGTGTGCCAGGGGCAAGACTGGTGTTTGGGGAGGCCCAGTTGGCCATTACCTTTCTTAGTACCTAGGTCTTCAGTATCTTGATCCCTCTCTAGGCTGTGATGGAGTCTGAAATGAAGTTTGACAAGGACCATGATGGACTCATTGAGAATGGAGGCTATGCAGACCAGACCTATGATGGATGGGTCACTACAGGCCCCAGGTAGAGGGTTGGGGGTTCACTAAGACCCCAGGCAGAGGGGCGGGGGGATTCTAAGAGGCCTGAGGTGGGGAGGCGGGCAACAAGGAATCGTGGGGCTCAAGGAGTGAGTAACCTGTTGTGTTACACTGCATGGGGGCGACTGGAGTTGTCAACATGATCCCTAAACCCATGTCTTTGCGCAGTGCTTACTGTGGAGGGCTGTGGCTGGCAGCTGTGGCAGTGATGGTCCAGATGGCTGCTCTGTGTGGGGCACAGGACGTCCAGGAGAAGTTTACTTCCATTCTCACCCGGGGCCAAGAAGCCTATGAGAGACTGCTGTGGAATGGTGAGTTGCAGCAACCTAAGGGTCCTAAGGCGCCTGGGGGACACCAGGAGCCTCACTTCGCCTTTCCTCTCCTCCAGGCCGCTATTATAACTATGATAGCAGCTCTCAGCCTCAGTCTCGTAGTATTATGTCTGACCAGTGTGCTGGACAGTGGTTCCTGAAGGCCTGTGGCCTAGGAGAAGGAGACACTGAGGTGAGAGACTAGGAGGAGGAGACAGAGCAAAGTGGGTGGGGTTTCTCTTAAGGTGAAATGCAAGCATAAGAGACCATGTTCTTTCTTGCCCTTGCCCTTCCAGGTGTTTCCTACCCCACATGTGGTCCGTGCACTCCAAACTATCTTCGAGTTCAATGTCCAGGCCTTTGCAGGAGGGGCCATGGGAGCTGTGAATGGGATGCAGCCCCATGGCGTCCCTGACAGATCCAGTGTGCAGTCTGATGAAGTGTGGGTGGGTGTGGTGTACGGGCTGGCTGCCACCATGATCCAAGAGGTAATGCTGTCCTTCCCCCTGTAGTTGGGAACTCCCTGGGGAAAAAGCCCCTCTGGCTCCACCTGTGCAGCTGAAGTGGCTATTCAGGGGTGCCAAGTTACATGTATGACTGCCATTCTCCCCACAGGGCCTGACCTGGGAGGGCTTCCGGACAGCTGAAGGCTGCTACCGGACTGTGTGGGAGCGCCTGGGCCTAGCCTTCCAGACCCCGGAGGCATACTGCCAGCAGCGGGTGTTCCGTTCACTGGCTTACATGCGGCCACTGAGCATCTGGGCCATGCAGCTGGCCCTGCAACAGCAGCAGCAGAAAAAGGCCTCCAGGCCAGTAGCTGAACAGGACATAGGACTTATCACAGGGCCTGTGTTTGGACTGAAGGAAGGCATGGCAAACCTGAGCCCAGAGTAAGCCCTCTGAACTGTGGAAATGAGGCGCTAACAGCCCAGCCTCCAGCCTGCCCTTTGCTCCCCCGACATCTGAACAAACCTCCTGCAGCCCTGAGCCACCAGGACAATCATACCCCTTCCCTTTTCCCCAGCTGTGCCAGTAAACAAGGGATGAGGACCAGTCATCCGAATCACTTAATTTATTTCTTCCCTCACCCTTCCCTTGCTGCATGAAATGTTCAAGGTCAATTGATTTCTCCAAGTCCATTCATGGGGTCATTGACACACAATGGTATAAATAAAAGACCCAGAAAGCCAGTGAGTGTGGTGTGTTTGAGCCTCTGGGCTTCCTAGCAGGGCACAGGAGCTGAGGCCAGCCGTCTCCCGTTCCTTCTTATTTGGACACAGATAGAGGATCCCCAAACCCTTGGGGAGCCATGTCCCCCTTTCCTGTGAGATTTGCCTGCAGAGGAAGGATGGGACCTAGGCAGGGGGGCTCTGAGAAGAGGTCAGGGAATGGCCACTGCAAAGGAGGCTCTGTGTCAAGCATCTGAGGCAAGTAGTACACCAGACAGGAAGAATTGCCAGGGGCCTGGAGCACATGATCTGAGTTGTACAGCAACTGGCTTGTGCCATCCTTTGGTATCTCTGACTGCAGGGCAGGCAGCTCCAGCTGGTGAGGGTCCTCACTGGGGAGGGCACGAAGCTGGCGGGACAACACTGAGAAGACAAAGAATCTTCAGAGGTCAGCCCAGGCCTATCCCCTAGCCCATGCCTTTCAAGTATCCTTAAGCCTCAAAAAAAAAAAAGAAAAAGAAAAAAGAAATGGGACCAGCAGTTGGTATAATGGCTATGTCACTGGACTTCCATGTACTCATCCACGGTTTGAGTCCCGGACCTGGTAACTTAAACTCATGCTAGGCACGTGTGTGTGTGTGTGCGCCCAAGATCCCGAGAGGAGAATGGAGGAGAAGGGATTGCAGTGTGGCCATCCCCCCGGGAGTGATTTCTCGCTTTCTATCTCTCCATCCGTCTCTTTCTGGTGAGCGCATGTACCCTACAGCAAAAAACCTTTCCAAAAAAAAAAAAGGTATCCTTAAGCCTCTTACCTCCATGTTCAGTGGGCAGGCTCCCCCTTGTGTCAGAAGAGTACATAGCTGGTGCAAGCAGGAGGCAGAAGGAGAACAGTAGGACCTAGAGCACAGGGACGGTCGATGAAAAGCTCTGGATTACACCCCTGTCCCCACCACCTGAGAACAGGATCTCTCCTCCCATCACCATCCTCACCAGGGCACATGTGCTACTGCTGCTGGTTTTATTTGTTATCTCAGTCACCATGGCCTGGAGTTTCCTCAACTGATCTAGGAGGGACCTAAAGGAAGAAGGGGGACAATGGTGAGCATATCCTGGCCTGGGACCCGAGACATAAAATCCTCCTGTTAAAGCCACCACTTCCATCCATGCACTGGATCTCTGACTTCTCATCCTATTTTTGCAGATGACTTCTCTAGACAAAAAGCTTGAAGTTTCTCATTAAAACAAAATAAACATCTCTGCCCTGACTTAAACATTTCTTCAAATACCTTCAATAGTTCTCCACTCCCTGATCAGCTATGCACATAATCCTCACCAGGCATTCTCTATCTTCTCCACTCTGTAGTGCAAACCACCTGAGAGTGGGCTGGCAAGTGGCGTGGCGGTTAAAGGTGCTGGACTCCCACGTGGCTGACTGTGGTTCAAGTCTCAGACCTGGTGGCTTGTGCTCTCTTTCTCTCTCTCCCTGGCCAAATTAAAATAAATTTTAAAAGTTAAATAAATAATTCTTTTTTTTTAAAAAGTCCCTCCACCCCAAGGTCAGCTTCTCTTCTTCCCCTTCTACACCCTTTACCCCATCCACCAATGCAAACGAACCAGGTCCCCTCCCCTCCACAGATGATGAGCCTTGGCTCCGGGTCAATGCATACTTGATCCATGATACTGCTGACTGGAAGGACCTGAACCTGAAGTTTGTGCTGCAGGTGTATCGGGACTATTACCTGACAGGCGACCAAGGCTTCCTTAAGGACATGTGGCCCGTATGCCTAGTAAGGGATGCACATGCAGTGGCCAGTGTGCCAGGGGCAAGACTGGTGTTTGGGGAGGCCCAGTTGGCCATTACCTTTCTTAGTACCTAGGTCTTCAGTATCTTGATCCCTCTCTAGGCTGTGATGGAGTCTGAAATGAAGTTTGACAAGGACCATGATGGACTCATTGAGAATGGAGGCTATGCAGACCAGACCTATGATGGATGGGTCACTACAGGCCCCAGGTAGAGGGTTGGGGGTTCACTAAGACCCCAGGCAGAGGGGCGGGGGGATTCTAAGAGGCCTGAGGTGGGGAGGCGGGCAACAAGGAATCGTGGGGCTCAAGGAGTGAGTAACCTGTTGTGTTACACTGCATGGGGGCGACTGGAGTTGTCAACATGATCCCTAAACCCATGTCTTTGCGCAGTGCTTACTGTGGAGGGCTGTGGCTGGCAGCTGTGGCAGTGATGGTCCAGATGGCTGCTCTGTGTGGGGCACAGGACGTCCAGGAGAAGTTTACTTCCATTCTCACCCGGGGCCAAGAAGCCTATGAGAGACTGCTGTGGAATGGTGAGTTGCAGCAACCTAAGGGTCCTAAGGCGCCTGGGGGACACCAGGAGCCTCACTTCGCCTTTCCTCTCCTCCAGGCCGCTATTATAACTATGATAGCAGCTCTCAGCCTCAGTCTCGTAGTATTATGTCTGACCAGTGTGCTGGACAGTGGTTCCTGAAGGCCTGTGGCCTAGGAGAAGGAGACACTGAGGTGAGAGACTAGGAGGAGGAGACAGAGCAAAGTGGGTGGGGTTTCTCTTAAGGTGAAATGCAAGCATAAGAGACCATGTTCTTTCTTGCCCTTGCCCTTCCAGGTGTTTCCTACCCCACATGTGGTCCGTGCACTCCAAACTATCTTCGAGTTCAATGTCCAGGCCTTTGCAGGAGGGGCCATGGGAGCTGTGAATGGGATGCAGCCCCATGGCGTCCCTGACAGATCCAGTGTGCAGTCTGATGAAGTGTGGGTGGGTGTGGTGTACGGGCTGGCTGCCACCATGATCCAAGAGGTAATGCTGTCCTTCCCCCTGTAGTTGGGAACTCCCTGGGGAAAAAGCCCCTCTGGCTCCACCTGTGCAGCTGAAGTGGCTATTCAGGGGTGCCAAGTTACATGTATGACTGCCATTCTCCCCACAGGGCCTGACCTGGGAGGGCTTCCGGACAGCTGAAGGCTGCTACCGGACTGTGTGGGAGCGCCTGGGCCTAGCCTTCCAGACCCCGGAGGCATACTGCCAGCAGCGGGTGTTCCGTTCACTGGCTTACATGCGGCCACTGAGCATCTGGGCCATGCAGCTGGCCCTGCAACAGCAGCAGCAGAAAAAGGCCTCCAGGCCAGTAGCTGAACAGGACATAGGACTTATCACAGGGCCTGTGTTTGGACTGAAGGAAGGCATGGCAAACCTGAGCCCAGAGTAAGCCCTCTGAACTGTGGAAATGAGGCGCTAACAGCCCAGCCTCCAGCCTGCCCTTTGCTCCCCCGACATCTGAACAAACCTCCTGCAGCCCTGAGCCACCAGGACAATCATACCCCTTCCCTTTTCCCCAGCTGTGCCAGTAAACAAGGGATGAGGACCAGTCATCCGAATCACTTAATTTATTTCTTCCCTCACCCTTCCCTTGCTGCATGAAATGTTCAAGGTCAATTAATTTCCCCAAGTCCATTCATGGGGTAATTGACACACAATGGTATAAATAAAAGACCCAGAAAGCCAGTGAGTGTGGTGTGTTTGAGCCTCTGGGCTTCCTAGCAGGGCACAGGAGCTGAGGCCAGCCGTCTCCCGTTCCTTCTTATTTGGACACAGATAGAGGATCCCCAAACCCTTGGGGAGCCATGTCCCCCTTTCCTGTGAGATTTGCCTGCAGAGGAAGGATGGGACCTAGGCAGGGGGGCTCTGAGAAGAGGTCAGGGAATGGCCACTGCAAAGGAGGCTCTGTGTCAAGCATCTGAGGCAAGTAGTACACCAGACAGGAAGAATTGCCAGGGGCCTGGAGCACATGATCTGAGTTGTACAGCAACTGGCTTGTGCCATCCTTTGGTATCTCTGACTGCAGGGCAGGCAGCTCCAGCTGGTGAGGGTCCTCACTGGGGAGGGCACGAAGCTGGCGGGACAACACTGAGAAGACAAAGAATCTTCAGAGGTCAGCCCAGGCCTATCCCCTAGCCCATGCCTTTCAAGTATCCTTAAGCCTCAAAAAAAAAAAAGAAAAAGAAAAAAGAAATGGGACCAGCAGTTGGTATAATGGCTATGTCACTGGACTTCCATGTACTCATCCACGGTTTGAGTCCCGGACCTGGTAACTTAAACTCATGCTAGGCACGTGTGTGTGTGTGTGCGCCCAAGATCCCGAGAGGAGAATGGAGGAGAAGGGATTGCAGTGTGGCCATCCCCCCGGGAGTGATTTCTCGCTTTCTATCTCTCCATCCGTCTCTTTCTGGTGAGCGCATGTACCCTACAGCAAAAAACCTTTCCAAAAAAAAAAAAGGTATCCTTAAGCCTCTTACCTCCATGTTCAGTGGGCAGGCTCCCCCTTGTGTCAGAAGAGTACATAGCTGGTGCAAGCAGGAGGCAGAAGGAGAACAGTAGGACCTAGAGCACAGGGACGGTCGATGAAAAGCTCTGGATTACACCCCTGTCCCCACCACCTGAGAACAGGATCTCTCCTCCCATCACCATCCTCACCAGGGCACATGTGCTACTGCTGCTGGTTTTATTTGTTATCTCAGTCACCATGGCCTGGAGTTTCCTCAACTGATCTAGGAGGGACCTAAAGGAAGAAGGGGGACAATGGTGAGCATATCCTGGCCTGGGACCCGAGACATAAAATCCTCCTGTTAAAGCCACCACTTCCATCCATGCACTGGATCTCTGACTTCTCATCCTATTTTTGCAGATGACTTCTCTAGACAAAAAGCTTGAAGTTTCTCATTAAAACAAAATAAACATCTCTGCCCTGACTTAAACATTTCTTCAAATACCTTCAATAGTTCTCCACTCCCTGATCAGCTATGCACATAATCCTCACCAGGCATTCTCTATCTTCTCCACTCTGTAGTGCAAACCACCTGTGTTAAGGTTCTGCCAAACAGGACTAGGTTATGTTCTCTCTGCCAAGAATGCTTTCCCTGCCCAACCCTCCCCCCTAGAATCCTAACTATGATCATTACTACCTGCTCCATGAGGTCTTTCTTACCTCCCCCTTTCTCTTTTTAGTACTTATCCTTAGTTACGTATAAATTTATTCTCCATTTCTGTGAGCTTGTTGCAATCAGACCCAGTAAAGGTCACACACCAGACCCTGCATTTGGGAACTGCCCAGTAGGAGAAAAGAGAAAGAATTAGATGGGGGATAGGAAGAGGAAGATTTGGACGGTTGCTTACAGATTCTGTTCCTCCAGGAACTGTACTTTGTTCTGTAGCTCCAGATTCTGGGCTGTGTATTTCAAGACCCTGAGGAAAATGACAGGAATACAATGATATGATCTATATCCTCCCTTCAAAAACCCAACCATTCCGACAATTTCTATTCCTCCCGCCCTTGAGCCCCTCTCCCTTTCATACCTGCTCTCTAAACCCCCCACATACACCTTCTTCTTTCTGCGGCTCTCTTGAGCAGACATTTTGTTTCGAATCTTTCTCCGCACTCGTTTTAGAACTTGTTCTTCAATCTGAGAGAAGACAGGGAAACACGGATCACAGGAGGAATACTGGAAGGAGTTGGAAGGCAACTAAGTTCAATCTTCTCCCTAGTGCAGAAATCTCTTCTACAGCTTCCCTGACCAATAGGCTTCTGTGTGAACGCATCAAAGGACCAGGTGCTACCCTCACATGCCAGACTATTTTCAAAAATTTAATTAATTAAAAAAAACTTCTAGGACCAGCAGATGGCGTAATGGTTATATTGCTGGATTCCCACATAGCTAACTGTGGTTTGAGTCCTGGGCCTGGTGGCTTAAAACTCATGCTGGCCACATGTGTATGCATGCCTAAGGCCCCAAGAGGAGAATGGAGAAGGGATTGCAGAGACACTTTCTGTCTCTCCTCCTCTGGTGAATGCATGTGCCCTATAGCAAAAATCTCTCTTAAAATAAAAATCTTTCCTGGGCCAGCAGAGGGTGTGGTTATAACACTGGACTCCCACACTGCCAACCACAGTTCAAGTACTAGACCCAGGGGCTTGAAATCATGCTGGGCATGTGTGCATATTTGCCCAAAAACCCAAGAAGAGAATGGAGAAGAAGGGTCTGCAGTGTGGTCATCCCTCTCAGAGGTGACTTCTCACTTTCCCTGTCTCTCTCCAGCAAGTGCACATGCCCTATAGCAAAAACATAAAAACAAAAACAAAAAAAGCTTCCTTGGGACCAGCTGTTGGCATAATGGCTATGTCATTGAATTCCCATGTAGTCGACTGTGGTTCAAGTCCTGGACCCGGTGGCTTAAACTCATGCCGGGCACATGTGCGTGCATGCCCAAGATCCTAAAAGGAGAATGAGAAGGGATTGCGGCATGGCCATCCCTCCAGGGGGTGATTTCTCGCTTTCTGTCTCTCTGTCTCTGTCTTTCTGATGAGCGCATGTGCCCTATAGCAAAAACCTCTCCAGAAAAGGGGGTGGGGGTGGGGGAACCCTTCCTTCCCCTGAACCAACATCTGCCTTTTTTTTTTTTTTTTTTTTTTTTTTTTTATTAAATGCCTGAGAACACATGCATGGATGAAATGTGGCGGGGAGGAGTGAGAAAGCATCCTCCATGGGAGATGGCCAAGTCGTAATCCATTTTCCATTTCTCCTCTTGGGATTTTGGGCACGCATACACATGTACCCATTATGTTTTTCAAGCTGCTAGGTCCGAAACTAGAACCACACATTCAACTCCCTGTGATCCAGCTGCCTTCACCACCACACCACTAGCTAGCTCCTGGATAAAATTGTTAATTCATCATCTCGCTTCAAGATGGGCTGCAGCCTTCTATTATCTGTCAAAGCAATGGGCTCAGAACAGGATGTGCTCTGACCAGTATAAATGAAAGCAAGATAACCACTGCCCTTCTAGAAGCACTGCCTTTGTTGATAGGGCTTCCAATTCCCTTTCACTTTCTCAGTAGCCATGTCACACTGCTGACTCACCCTATACTTCTAAGTAATTAAATGGGGGCCAGCAGGTGGCGTGGAGGTTAACGCATTGGATCCCACGTAGCTGGCTATGTGGTTTGGGTACCAGACTCAGTGGCTTGAAAATCACACTTAGGGCTGGCAGATGGCATGGTAGTTAAGGGTATTGGACTCCCACATGGCCAACCACAGTTCAAGTCCTGACCTGGTGGCTTGCTTTCTCACTTTCCATCTCTCTCACTCTCTCTCACTTTGCTGTCCCTCTCTGGTCAAATTAAAATAAATAAATAAAGGGCTGGCAGGTGTCGTGGTGGTTAAGGGCACTGGATTCCTACATGGTCAACTGCGGTTGGAGTCCCAAACCTGGTGGCTTGCTTTCGTGCTTTCCCTGTCTCTCCCTCTCTGGTCAAATTTAAAAAATAATAAGAACAAATGAAAATAAATAGAGAAATAATTCTTCAAAAAATAAATAAATAAAATAAAATAATTATTTAAAAAAGAAAAAAGGAAACCCCTCTGGGTGTGTATATGCATGTCCCCAAAATTCCAAGAGACTGGAGAAGAGACTGTAGCGTGGCCATCACCCTGAGGGGAGATTTATCTCTTTCTCTCTCTAGTGAGTACATGTACCTTGTAACAAAAACTAAAAACAGAAATTAAATACCCTAACTTTTCTGCCAATGAATCTCTATTTCATCGCAGAATCAAATATTGTGCTTGAAATATTTGCTTGAAACTCACAACTCAGAACTTTTATTTTAAAGAGATATTTTTGCTATAGGACATGTGCGCTTGCTGGAGAGAGAGAGACAGAAAGCAAGAAATCACCTCTCAGGGAGTATGGCCACGCTGCAAACTCTTCTCTACCATTCTTCTCTCAGGATTTTGGGCACACATATATACATGCCAGGCCTGAGTTTCAAGCTACCGGGTCCAGGACTCGAACTGTAGTCAGCCATGTGGGAGTCCAACAATGTCATCCGCTGGTCCCTAAAACTCAGGATTTTACATGCATTTTTGTCATATTGCATGGTCCAGCTTTGCTCAGCTCTTTAAAACAATTCTACCATTCAGGGGAAAGTGGATTACCATGAAGTCAGTGAAATCTTAAGTGTCAGGGCTCTTCACCTGGACAGTTCTTTTAACAGTTCTGTATTAATACTGCACTGGTAATCTGAAATTCCTTTTTCTTAAAGAAAACACCAAAATTTATACACAAGCCAAGATCCAACCTTGGATCTAGAGTATTAATGAACTACCCTAGCTTCCTATTAGCAACGAATTTGCTAAATTTCTCAGAAAATCCCTCTGGGTGTGTATATGTGTGTCCCCAAAATTCCAAGAGAGACTGGAGAAGAGTGATAATCGATAATTATTGCAAATTAAAAGTTGATAATTTTTGCAAATTATCAATATAAAGTTAACTGAATTAGCCTACTTAGGGCTCACAATCTCCCTGCAGCCTTTGCTTCACCCACAGAAGTCTTACCTTAGTAAGAGGAAAAGTTCCAGGCAGAGTAAGCCCCTCCTTCTCCAATAATCTCTTTTCTTCATCTGTCAGTATCAGCCTATCAATCTCCTATGAGCAAGTGGGCAGCAGAGTTGCATAGAGATGTCAGAGAGGATGGGGACTCCTGTCCCACCCTTACAATAAAGCCATTATCCTCCCCCAAATCCATCAAGTACCTGCTCTGCAGGCTCCTCCATATGCAGTGGAGTCATCTGCACCACCTCCTTTTCATAGCTCACACTATCTGCAAAAGCAAAAGTATGAATAGCCAGTCCCATGAAACCTCTCCTTCCCCACAAACTTCCACTTACACCACACTCACCCAGATCGATGGAGACATGTTCTTGGGGGAGAGAGTAGGTGTGATCGTGGTGAACAAGACAAGGGCTGGAGGAGCCGAGAACGTTCAACGATGCTGGAGGACTAAGCAGGGAGCTCAGCAAATCATCTACCTCCCAGTCACTCGGTAACTGCACAGGTTCAAGGAACCACCGGAGTTAGACTAATCACTACCCTCAGCCTCTAGAACGCCTGGCACCTCCCGCACTCAGAACCCCACCCACCTCGGAATTCGGCAGCTCCCAGTCTAGTGGAGACTCCGAGGCCTCGTCGCTTGTGACTCCCCAATCTCCGCTTTCTTCTAGCAGGAAGCCCAGCAGGTCTTGGTCACCAGGGTCCAACGCCAGCTCCATTTTGGAACTCCACAGAAAGGATGGGCAGGAATACCCCTCCACCCGGCTCCAATCTCCGAGCCCAGGCGCTCCCCGCAGTCCCCCCCCCGGCCTCTCTCACTTATCCGCCAGCCCCCCTTCTGCCCGGCTTCCCTGCTAAGGGCTGACGGTGCCTCTCAAGCCACACCCGCCTCCCAGACTGCTGAACACAGCCTCCAACACAACGGAAGTGACGCCCCTGGCTCCATGGCGCCTTCGGGACTTGAAGTTCGCTCCAAGTCGGAAGTGTCCTGGGTGCCGCGCCACGTCCCTAGAGGCTATGGAAATAGAGGGGACGTCCCTGCCGCCTCCTCACCCCCCGAGGGCGGGGATTCTGGAGACCTGACTCCGCCTTCGCTCCCCCTCCCCCCCACCCCCACCCCCGACTTGAAAAAGGAAGAATTCGAGTCTAAAAGGGAACTCGGGCGTAGTCGGCCCAGGGCGCCGCCCGCGGGTGGGGGCGTTCCGGGGACGGAAGTGGCCGCAGGAGTGTCGAAGGGAGGGCGAGTCCGGGCCCGAGAGCCGCCAGGAGAGCCAGTTAGCCAGCCGGCGGGCGGGGCGCAGAGCCGGGCAGCTCAGGTAGGCCGGGTCGGGCCGAGCGGGAGCTCCAGGGTGGGGCGGCGAGGCCCGGCCCGGGGGGCGGGCGGGGCCCGTGACCCTCCTGCGTGTCGCGTGTCGCGTGTCGGGTCCTCTCGGAGAGGTCAGGGTCCAGATCGCGGCTTGGACTCGGAGTTCAGTAGGCCCTCTTGCGAGAGACAGGCCCTTCCTGGGAGCAGTCCTCTGCCTGAGACAGTTGTGTGTGTGTTGATTTTTATTTTTTACAGAGGGTGAGGAGTTGGGACGGCAGCGAGGCGCAGGGCGGGGATGGCTTTGGTGTTAGCGGATAGCGGGTGTGTCGGTAGGAAAGCGTTGGGTGAGTTTAGGATTAGGTGCAGTTGGGTTTGGGAATCAAGGGTCGTGTAAGGAGTTATAAGGACGGGATAACAGTTTAAAGCGTTTTTAGCTCGAGTCTGGTCTGTTTTGTGGAGATATGGTTTAGATTAAAGTCGTTATTTTTGTTTTCTGGGTTGACCAGGGTAAGTCAGAGTTCAGGATCTGGTTAAGGATCAACCACAGGAATTAGGTTGGAAGGTCCATTTTAAAAATTAAAGAAGGTTGGCCCAGTCATGTCAAGGATGAACAGTGACAGGGTGAATGAAGAATTGAGTGACAAGTGAGCTTTAGGTGTACTGGTCAATATTTAGTATTTAAGTCAGGGAATTTGGTGTTCAAGGTAAAAATGAGATCAGTGTCAGGGATCGAGGTCTCTGCCAGGAAAAGGAAGAATGTCAAAGCCAGTACTAGGAACCGGGAAAGAAATGGAGTCAGGGTTAATGTTAGGAGTTAGGGACAGCTTTAGGGATTATGAATGAGGCTAGGGTAGTTGACCTAGGGTGGGTAAAATTTAAGAAATTGTCAGTGGGTACATGCCCTTATTTTCTGGGGCAGTCCCTTATTCCTATATAGTCACAGAAGCTTCTTGTGAAATGACAAACTAATTTCAGGCTAGAGCTCTGGGCTTCAGCTAGAATTGCAGGCATCTTCTGGGCTTCCAGCTTTATTTCACGCTCTAAACCCAAGGCTCTTGCAAAGGCCACCACAGTTGGGGGACAGAATTCCTGACAATATTGTTTACAAAACAGGAGGTGGTAAAGGGGGCAGGCCCCCAGGAGCCATACGAGACCTAGTCATAAGTTGGGGACTACCTAAGAAGAAGGAACCAGTGACTGAGGGAGAAGTATACCAAGGAAACACTTGCCATGGGAGAAGGGGATGACTAAATCCCCTGAAAGTCTGACCCCACTGCCTCCCTTTTCCCTCCTTCCTAGACAATAAACCCCCCTCTCTGTTCATCTCTTACTCTGCATTGCATACCCTTCCTCCATACCTGTTTTCAGATATGTCCCTTGCTCTTAACTCTCTTACCCTCCTATCATTCACTCCCGTTCTCAGCTCTGCCTCCTTCCTCACCCCTTAATCCACCCATCCTTCCTTAATTTACCCCCACCCAAATCTGAACTTTCCTATCATCTTAAAGCACGCTCCCACCATCGTCAGGTATTCATGCATACCACTGCATACCTTGTGCATACCACTTCGTCATCTATATTTCCTACCCTAGCCCTAGCTATGTGCCTTCTCCTGTTCTACGCCTCCTTTAATTTCTTGGTCCTGTTGTGGATCCCCTTCCCCCACCCCCCAACAGAAAAGAGGAAATGAGACCCAAAGAGGAAACTGGGTCTTGCTGATCCCACGCCCAGCCAGGCCACTGACCACACCCCCATTTCACTCCCAGGCTGACCTTGCTGCTGACCATAGCACTATCCCCTACCCAGTCTGACCCAGCCATGGTCTATGCCTTGTGCCCCACCCTATCCCCAGTTTTATTTAGACACTACCAATGTCCCTTCACTCCCCCCAACCCCCACCTAATTTAGCCTCTGACTGGCTCCCTGTCTTCTCAACCCCCCTATAGCCTGACCTGGCCTCTGACCTCATTCCATCATTCCCTGATTCACCATCCTTGTAATCATTCTTCCCCTTCCCCCAGCCTGACCCAGGGACTGAGTATATATTTTTTCCTACCGCCATCTTCCTCAACCTTTTTATATACCCTGTCTTCATCCTTCCCAGCCTGATGCAGTCACTAACCCCATCCCGTGTGCCCCACCTGGCTACTAATCACATACCCATCCCCTTTTTCCCACAGCCTAACCATATCCCCTAACCGCAGCCACATCCTCACATTCTCAACCCAACCTGACCTTTTCCCCTCCTTCCCAATTCCTAACCTAACCTCAAGCTGCCCAGCCACTGATGGCTGCTGATGAGAGGAAGCTGTGGGACCCCATTAGGCCCTGGTCCACGAAGAAGATTGACAGAACAAGATTGTCATCAGATCTTGTCAGTTCTACCTCTTAACATTTCTTCCTAGTAACATCTTTCTCTCCACCATTCTAACTCTGGCTTCATGTTCCCTTTCTTACACTAGTCTTGTCCTTCTCACCCATCTCCAAGGTAACTGCCAGAGTTATTTTCCTAAAATCCAGTTCTGGTTATATCCCTCCCCTACTCAGAGCCCCCTCAGCCTTCTGTTACTGTTAATAGGTCAAAGTCCTCATTCTCCTAGACCCTGCCCTGCTTTCTGTCCTAACCTGACTTCCTCACCACTGTCCCCTTGCAGGTATCCTGTGCCTCAGGCAGCCTAGCCTGCCTCCTCACTCCCCTGAGTGCCTCCCCACGATTTCCTGTTCTCCACCTTTGCTTCTGCTATTCTTTGCCTGGAATACTACCCCTGACTCATCTTCCGTCGGCTGGCAGCTGGCATAGCAGAGAGAGAGCTTGGACTTTGGAGTCAGAGACCTAGGTTCGGAACCTGGCTTCACAACTTATTGTTTGGATGAATATTTAGAACAAGTATTTAAGTCCTTTGAGCCTCAGTTTCTAATCTGTGAAAATGTAAGTCATGACACCTACCTCACAGGGTTGTTGTAAGGATTACATGGAATTGTATATATAATGCAATTGAGATATAGTCAATGAGAGATCCCTATTCTTTTTTATTTTCTTTATTTTTTTAAATGCTGGAGATATCTTGTCCCCTTTCCCTAGCGTAAGAGTTCTCTCCTCTGAGCATACACCTTCTTTTGGCTCTTGTCACATCCTGCCCTCTACTGTAATTCTGTATTTAGCTGATCTGCCCATCTCCTGGTTTGGGAGCCCCTTGAAGGCAAAGGCTCTTGAAGGCAAAGGCTAGTACAGCAGGTCCTTTTCCCCCAGCAGACCCTCAAGAAACGCTTGCCTGGTGAATGGAGGGAGGCTGTCTACACGATGGGAGGAGAGATTTGGAGGGCCAGGACGTTAGGGCTTGATGTGCTTATTATGGTAGAGGCGTATTAGTGTGGAAGCTGTTGTGTGGGGTGTAGTCCCAGATAACACTGCGTAGGGCTGTTTGATTGAGATAGCATGTAGGTAGACAGCTTTGCAGCACAGAGCTGCATGTTCTGACTGCAGTGCATTTGAGGAGAATGAGTGGATGTTAGGTGTGGAGCGACTGTGTTGGAGGAAGTCAGGTCCAGCTCTTCAGCTGCCCAGTCCAGCCCTGAATGTGCCTCTAGCAGCCTGAGGCCGGATATGTCAGTCTCACCCACAAACCCTCCCCCCATTCCCGCGGTTGCGGACTCAGAGGCCAAATTTGGTAACAGACTTGAGTGTTACTCCCCCAACCCTCTTGCATTCTGACTCTGCTGTCAGTTTTCTCTCCCCTTTTCCCTCTCTGTAACTCTCTCTCTTTCTGCAGTTCTCTTTGTGGGTATATGCTCTGACTACTCTTTATGTACCCCAAATTCCTTAGCCCAATACACTCAGCATTCCATTCCTTGCTGGGATTTGACCTCCCGTCCTAGGTTCTCCCCCTTGAGTTGCCCAACTCCTCTGGAATGCATCTCAGGAATGTATTGAGGGAGGAGGAGTTCCCTGGGAGGGAGACACAGGAAGGGGGGCAATGTTGCTGTTCCATAAAACATGATGGAAAAGGGAGCAAACAGCCCCATCAGGCCAGAGCAGAAACTATATAGTTTCTACTCCTACTTCTAGGGGACTTGTTCTTCACCACCTGTAGCCCCAATTTGTTGGTCAGTTCCTTCCCCCCCACCTTATGCTCTTGTAGCTATGTGGATGTATACTCAGGACCAGGCTGGGAGTCAGGGCAGGCATGACTCGACTCTCTTATCGGGGTCTCACCAGAGGCTTCCGTGCTTGAGGAAGAAGGGGTGTCCATATGTCCGGAGGAAATGGGGGGAGACATGCAATTTCAGCTTAGGGTGCAGAGTCCTTTCAGTCTTGCTCTCAGCTCCTTGGACTCCTCCAGCTACTCTGATCCTCCAGTCTTCACTCTTCCGTGGTCAGCAACACCCCCCTCGCCAGGTCTGTCCAGCTACTGGGGGAGAGGTGCCCCAGGAATGGGGAGGAGCAGGGATCTGGAACTGAGGAGTCTGGGAGGGTCTTTTCTTGTTGGGGAGTAAAGATAAGAGTGAGCTGTAGTTCTTCTGTTTTGAGACTCTGAACTGTTCATAAATTCAGAAATGGTCTTTCAGCCACTGGGTATTAGACCCCTGATTCAGATCTTTTCCACATCTGCCTCCTGTCTCTTGTATTTAATTCTTTTCACTCAGTGTCTCCCACCCTCTTCACCTCCTCTGCCCCTTCCCAACTTCCTGGGCCCAAATGCCTTCTGTATTGGTAACACCCCCCACCCCCACCTCCTAACCTGTCCCCTAGTCCTACTTTTTCCCCCTTAGTGCT